CTAGAAAATGATTCTTCTCTTTAGGATCAGGCTGAGAAAGTTGGGGCTGTTCAGTCTGAAATAGAAAAGGGAGCCTTCATAACATCCTTCCAGTATCAGCAGGGAGCCTACAAGGAAGCTGGAGAGAAGTCTTCATCAGGAACTGTAGTGATAGGACAAGGAGGAATGACTTCAAACTGAAATGAAATAGGTTTAGATTACATATGAAATTCTTGCCTGTAAGGGTGGTGAAGCCCTGACACTCAGGCCTGCCCAGAAAAGCAGGGGCTGCCCCATCCCTGAAAGTGTTCAAGGCCAGGCTGGATGGGGCTTGGAGCAACCTGGACTAGTGGAAGGTGTCCCTGCCCATGGCAAGGGGTGGGACTGAATGAGCTCTAAAGTCCCTTACAACTCAAACAATTCTGTGAGTCTATTTCATTTCTGTGATTCTGTGAATCAGAAGTCTCTTTTCTCATAATGCATGGATACTTATGGAAAATTTTGTTGCTTTTATTGCTTTATATTGTTTTTTTGCTACAAAAAGAAAGCCTAACAGAAAATTCCTCCTGCAAGCAAACAATTTATTAAGAAACTATTTATTCTCCTTCACTGTTTCTGGTTTTCCTAGTTCTTATCATGGGCCAATACAGCTCCCAGGGAATGCTCCTTTTTTCTCTGAAGAAATAAAAACACATAGACAAAATAAAGGACTCTCCCAGCAACCAAGTGGCCAAAAATTATTTAGAGGAATGGAACAAAAACATGCATATGTAACAAGTATAATAAATACCATCACACAGTGTGTGTTTTAGAGCTCAACACCTCTCCCAGTTTACTCCATTTGCTCCCTGTACTATTAGCTCAGGTTTGTTTCAACCTCACTCTCTTGGAAAGACTGTCCCAAAACTGACTGATGCTTTAATGTCCTCTGGGACACCTCATGATGCAAATACCTTTTATTTCCTAATGACAGCAGTAGTTTTGTGAGTTTGTGGGGTATAAATCACCTTTTCTGCATGTGAGCTGTTAAGGACATGCTGCTTTGCATTCCCTAGTCTTCCCTAAATCCAGGGAGGAATTAGGGAACCTGAACTCCAGACTTCTCCCACAATCCTGAGTGATAGGACAGATGTCACATCATCTCTGGCCTTTTGGCAAGTGTATTCTAAGACTCCGCATAGAAAAACACACCGAATGTACTACCGGCACCTTGCTGAATCTACACCCGCGGTGATTTTGCTGCCCTTCTCTGTACAAATACCACAGCAGCAGTCACACTCCCCTCAAACACGACCCAGGCCAAGGGCCGGGCCCGGGCCCGGCCCCAGCTACCACAGCCGGGCCCGGAGACCGCGCTGTCCCGCCGTGGGAGCCGGGCTCCGGCGGCCCGCGGAGGCCGCCCAGGGCACCCGGAG